GTCCATAACAGAAGAGAACTTCATTTTCTCATATAACCTTTTGATTCTTTTCAATTAATTACCATATGCATGTCTTACAAAATATTTTTAAAACACCCTTTTTTTAAAAAAAAGATTTTATTTATTTATTCATGAAAGACAGAGAGAGGCAGAGACACAGGCAGAGGGAGAAGCAGGCTCCTCACAGGGACCCCAATGTGGGACTAGATCCCAGGACCCCAGGATCATGACACCCTGAGCCCAAGGCAGGCTCTCAACTGCTGAACCACCCAGGTGTCCCAAAAGACCCTCTTATTCTTACATTTCCCTCCAGCTACTGCCACTTTTCTCTGTTCTCTTTCACAGTATAACTTCCCTTCTGTTTATTGTGTCCTCTGGCTCCAATCTGGCTTTCCATCGCACTGTTCCATTGAGAGTTCTCTTGTGAAGACCACCACTGACCTCCCCTTTACAGAACTTAATGGTCACTTTCTTGTCTTCATCCTACTTAACACCTCAGCACTGAAAAAAGCTTCTCATGGCTTCTGTGATACCAAACTTCTCTGGTTTCCTCTTTCCTCATTACTCTCTCTGAGTCCTTCCTTGCTGGTCTGTTCCCTTTCTCTGACACCTGGTAGAGCATGTGTTCTCAACTGTAGACCCTATATTCTTCTCTACTCACACTCTTGCCCTAGGGCAGAGGCTCCTAAACTTTTCAATATTTATAGGACAAAAGAAATACCCAACAGTTCCATTTCCTAAAAAGTTAGTTCCCAACAAGTTAATAAATATTTATATCCTATTATAATATTGTGTATTATATTTGTTAACTTATAGATATTTATATCACTAATAGCCATTTGAAAAAATAATATGCATAAAACGAAAAAAAAAGATTGTATTTCTTAAACTTGCTTTATTCTTAAATAACAATTCATTTACTTCTTAAATAACACTGATGAGATACATGCATCTTCTGGGCATTGCGCAAGTTTGCAGACTTTGGGATCACATTGGACACCATCATCCTCATTTCCTGTTCCATGATGATTTTTACATGCTACCTTCTTTTCATCACGGTAACCATAGGAACCCTACATTTGCAAAGATGTAATGGTATCAAAAGGAATGTAGTAAATAGCTAATGTTGAAATTATGAACTAAGTCTACCAAGTCATTTGTAAGATGACAGATTCATATCAAGTATTGTTGTTTCCCTCAAAAATTTATGGGGGGATCCCGGGGTGGCTCAGCAGTTTAGCGCCACCTTCCGCCCAGGGCGTGATCCTGGAGTACCGGGATCGAGCCCACATCGGGCTCCCTGCATGGAGCCTGCTTCTCCCTCTGCCTGTGTCTCTACCTCTCTCTCTCTGTGTCTCTCATAAATAAATAAAATCTTTTTTAAAAATTTAAAATATCCCACATATAGTAGAGTCTATGAAATGTGTAAAGAAGAAATAATACCAACCATTCACACACTCTTTCACGAAACAGAGGAGGAAAGATTTCCTGACTCATTCTATAAAACCAATGTCACCCTAGTGCCAAAGCCAAAGACATCACAAAAACTACAGTATCCCTGTGACCAGAATATTCAGTAAGACTGGAAAAGGTGGAAGACTGGAAAAAAAAGTATGCCATGGCCAAGCAGGGTTTATCCCAGGAATGCAAGGTTAGTTAACAATTAAAAATCAGTTAACATAATACACCACATTGATAGAATAAAGGACAACAACCACATGATCAACTCAACAGATGCAGAAAAAACACATGACAAAATTCAACGCCCACTCATAAAAAAAAACTTCCACAGTCTGATAAAGGTCTATGAGAAAACTATTGTTAACATCACATTTACTGGTAAAAGGAGATTTTCTCCACAGGACTGGGAAAAAGAGAGTGATGCCCATTTTCATTACTTATATTTATTATTGTGCAGGACATTCTGGCCTCCTGTAAGAAGGCAAGTAAAAAGGGGGGCTAGGAAGGAAGGAACAAGAAAGGAAGGAGTCCTCAGGAAGACGGCAAGGTGAAGGAAACAAGTTGAAAATGTAGAAATCAATTCTATTTCTACCTACTAGTGATGAAAAAATCCGAAAATGAAATAAAAAAATAATGTCACCTGGGACACCTGCATAGCTCAATTGGTTAAGCATCTGACTATTGGCTTTGGTTCAGGTCATGATCTCAGGGTCAAGAGATGGAGCCCCCTCTTCCCCACCACCCGAGCAGGCTCCATGCTCAGCAGGGACTCTGCTTCTCTCCCTCTGCCCATCTCTCCTCCCCCTCTTGACTGCATGCTCTCAGCCTCAAATAAATACATAAATCTTAAAAAAATAATCTTGCTCAAAACACCATTAAAAAAAGCCCTGAAGAACAAAATTTGGTCCCTGAAAACTACAAACCATTGGTAAGAGAAATAATAAAAGATTTAAACAGACTTTTTTTTTTTTTTTTTTGGTACACAGATATAAGACTTACTATTCTTCAAATGGCAATTCTCTTCAAATTGACCTGTAGATTCAATGCAAACCCTATCAAAATCCCAGCGGCATTTTTGTAGAAATTAATAAGCTGGTCCTAAAATTTCTATGGAAATATAGAGGACCCAGAAGAGCCAAAACAATTTCAAAAAAGAACAAAGTTGGAAAACACACGCCAGCTGATTTCAAGTTTCACTGTAAAGTTACATGACAGTGAGATATAGTGATGCAAAGATAATCGAATAGATCAGTAAGACAGAATTGAAAGTCCAGCAATAAATCCTCTCCTTTCTGGCCAAGTGACTTTTAATAAAAATGCCACAGCAGTTGAATAAAGAAAAGACTGTGTTTTCTTTTTTTTTAAATTATTTATTTATTTATTTATGATAGTCACAGAGAGAGGCAGAGACACAGGCAGAGGGAGAAGCAGGCTCCATGCACCGGGAGCCCGACGTGGGATTCGATGCCGGGTCTCCAGGATCGCGCCCTGGGCCAAAGGCAGGCGCCAAACCACTGCGCCACCCAGGGATCCCAAGACTGTGTTTTCAACAAATGGTGCCAGAAAAACTGGATATCCATATGCAAAAGGATCAAATATTTTACCCTTACGTCAAATAAAACGGAGTTGCAAGAATCAACTCACCCCAAATGTAAGAACTAAAACTAGGGGGTAGTTTGATGTCTGGCGCTAGCTCAAGCCGGGAGATGCGGAGGGCCTTCCCCGGGTGCCTCTGGCTAACGCGGCAGCCGTGGGAGGGGTGGGAATCCCCGAGGACAGGCCGCGGATCCCCCGGCTGCAGGGCAAGCGGAGTGGACTACAGCACAGCGCGCGGGGACCGCGGCCCCGGAGGCCGGACCGAGGGACCAACACGGCCGGCCGCACGCGGGCCCCGCGGCGGAGCGGCTGCCTCTGGCCCAGGGCGTGACCCCGGCGTCCCGGGATGGGGATCGAGTCCCGCGTCGGGCTCCCCGCGGGGAGCCTGCTTCTCCCTCTGCCTGTGTCTCTGCCTCGCTCTCTGTCTCGTGAATAAACACATAAAATCCTAAAAAAAAAAAAAAAAAAAAAAAGGAACCAAGAATGCTTAGGACGTCGTCCAGGGTTCTTTCACTCAGAGTTTGAATTCGCCCGGAGTGGTGGCGCCTTGAAGGGGAAGACCCAAAGCCAAGCGCCGAAGTAGCACCACCAAGGGCCGCGAGGGAACAACCGGGGAGAAGACTTGAGCGAGTAGACTGCGGAGACAGTGCCGGGGTTTTTCTGCGCCAGGAGACCTAGAAATGTCAGTCTCCAACCGCCGAACCACCACTGACTTGGTGATCGTCCCCTCCTGGGACCCTCCAGATGATCGCAGTCACATCCCATCCCTTGCGCCGCCGTAGGCCGCGCGCCGGCCACTCTTGGGGCTACACGATCGCAGGATCCCATCTAACAGACGCCGAGAAATAAGCGCCGCGTCTGGATCTCACACGTAATACGGGGTCCTGTCCTAGAGCGGTGACCGGTTTTGACTGATTGGAATTTCAAACCCATAACTGCGTTTCTGGATACGAAAAAAGGAGAATATTGGGATATTTTTTATTTTTTTAGAGATTCTACTTATTTGTTCATGAGAGGCATGAACATAAACTACTTATTTATTGACAGAGAGAGAAGCAGGCTCCGTGCAGGGAGCCCGACGTAGGGCTCGATCGCGGATCTCCAAGAGCACACCCTGGGCCGAAGGCGGCGCTAAACCGCCGAGCCACCCAGTTTTGTTTTTTTGTTTTTTAATTTTTTATTTATTTATGATAGTCACACACACAGAGAGAGAGAGGGGCAGAGACACAGGCAGAGGGAGAAGCAGGCTCCATGCACCGGGAGCCCGACGTGGGATTCGATCCCGGGTCTCCAGGATCGCGCCGTGGGCCAAAGGCAGGCGCCAAACCGCTGCGCCACCCAGGGATCCCTTTTCTGTTTTGTTTTAAGGAGTAACGCTCTCACAGACCCTCTAAAGCTTACTCCACGTTCCGTTTCTCGCAGCGCCCCGCCTCCCGTCAAATCACGTTCTTTCGGGAGGAAATCTCGCGAGAGGCCGAGTTCTCATGACTTCTCCCAGGAGCCTCCGCTCTTCCTCTTCCCCCGAGCGGCCTGAGGTGAGTGTCGGTGTACCGTGCGTGCCCGGCTGCTGAATCCCCCGCCATCGTCGCCGTCCTGACTCCGGCGGCCTCGAGGTCCAGGCCCCCGGGAGGAAGGCTCCTGCGGCTACTGATTCCCGGCCGAAGGGGATGTCCCTCTTGGCGGGGGGACGTGTCGGAGCAGAAGGCCGCGATGGGCGAGAATGGGGGTGGCGGGGGTCCCGGCGGGGGGTCCCGGCGGCCCGTGGTCCGGGCCGTTTCCGAGTACCGGGCCCAGAAGTAGCGGGAAGACGGCCGCATCTTCCCTGGGGGGCGCCCTGCTGCGCCGAGGCCCCCCTTCGGAGGGGGTCGGGGGCGCTGCTGAGGTCCCTGTCCCCACGCTGTCAGCCCCGCCGCAGTCCGGGGGACGCCAGGAGGAAAGCACGGCCGCGATGATGGCATTTCTTAGGACACCTTTGGATTAGCCGTGAAAACAGCTTTCATCTGAGCGGCTGTCGGTCGTAGTCGATGTGCACGTAAACTGCGTCGGCGACCGTGAACACAGGGTTGACGGCATCCCTTCCTGCTCCCTCCCCAGGTGACCTCCGGAGATGGTTCGCTACTCGCTGGACCCAGAAAACCCTACAAAATGTAAGTGAACCACGAGTTCCTTATTTGGGCGGAGGTGGGTGAGAGGAACAGCGAGGCACCCAAAATTAACCAAGACTTACTGGTTTTTTCTTTTTTTAGCATGCAAGTCGAGAGGTTCAAATCTTCGTGTTCACTTTAAGGTACGGGAATCTTTAATGTTCTAAGAGTTGTGCACGTGTTCCCGCGAGGATTTGCTGCTTCTTTGAAAAGGTGGCTGCGGTGATGCGTCTCTTAGGACACCTTTGGATTTTACTATGAAAATAAAACTGTTCTGAGCGGTCACCTTTGGGACAGTGATTAAAATCATGAGTCCTATAACAAGCACGTTAATTAAGGCTTATGGAATTGGGTAGAACTACAAGAGAACTGCCCGAGAAACGAGCACAGAGATAAAGAGAGGGACACAGAATTACAAGATCCTGGGATTAAAACTATACAGTCAGGGACACCTGGGTGGCTCGGTGGTTGGTTGGACGTCTGCCTTCGGCCCAGGGCATGACCCCCCAGGGTCTTAGGATGAATCCCACATCACGGGATCCCCGCAGGGAACCTGCTTCTCCCTCTGCCTGTGTCTCTGCCTCTCTTTGTGTCTCATGAATAAATAAAATCCTTTTAAAAAAACCGTAATACAGTTAATAGAGGTTTGGGATTTATTTTTCCCTAACTTCAAACCAATCCTCTATGGCTTTTAATCAGGTTTTCTTTTTCTCTCATTTTACCTCACCCTTCAAGAATGGGAAACCTTTATGTGTTGACATTTGGAGAAGCAGAGAATTGAATGCTTGCCTGAAGAATTGTTATCCTTGAGCATGGTTAACTCGCAATTTTTACTGTTTATACTTAGAACACACGTGAAACTGCCCAGGCCATCAAGGGTATGCATATTCGAAAAGCCACCAAGTATCTGAAAGATGTCACTTTGCAGAAGCAGTGTGTGCCATTCCGTCGCTACAATGGTGGAGTTGGTAGGTGTGCGCAGGTGAGAGTTCATAGTTGCTATCTGAAGTCTTTAGGTGGGGTAAGAACCCACCTTTAATCAGGTGCTTTCTGGTTGCTGTGATGACCATCTTAGGACACCTTTGGATTAACCATGAAAAGAAACTGTGTTCTGAGCAACCTTGATAGTCTTGCTTGTAACACTGATTTAAATTGGGGAAAATAACTGATTGCCTCTCTTGAATTTCTTTCAGGCCAAACAGTGGGGCTGGACACAGGGTCGGTGGCCCAAGAAGAGTGCTGAATTTTTACTGCACATGCTTAAAAATGCGGAGAGTAATGCTGAACTTAAGGTAACCAAACCATTAACATCTTGATATGTACACAGTTTGGATGATTGTTCAATTGTTGTTGATGTTATACAGATTTATGTCTTTTTCTCAGTAATTAAATTTCCTTTTTTTTTTTTTTTAAATGAATCTCTACCTCCAATTTCCAGAAGACCAAAATTGTGCCTGTGAAGGTCTTCCAAAGCATGGTCTTCAAGCCTGTTTTCCCTTATAACCCCGGTGCAAGCAAAAGAAACATTTTTACTCAAGGGTCTATAACTTTTCTGGTACCATAGACCCTTTTGGTTGTATGACTTGTGAACTTCACAAATTACTTGTCAATACAAATAGAAATCATAGGATTGCAAAGAACAAGTAAAGGTAACAATGATTGCCTTGGTGGTTAATGTGGTTTGTTGCCGATGTTCATAACGCAGAGGCATTAAATTTCAGATTTTAAAACAACAAAGTGGGTTTTATCTATCTTGTGCATTATCCATTACCCTTTGCATTTGGGAATCTAGACCACAGCTGGGGTTAAAATAGGTCTGGCTGTAACCCTTCTAGCTGTTAAGGTGTGCTGCCAAAATCCTGTTTTTCATCAAGGCTTAGAAATTGACACTATCACATCCACTCCCCTTAATGACTGTTAGTCCACTTACAAACTGCCTACAGCATTGGGTTTTGATGGTTCCTTAGATGGATGCTTAGAATAAAGGTGGAAGCAAAATGACTAAACGGATAGGCTATTTTTAAAGTCTTAGGGATTGCCTTGTAAAGGTGGGGACTAGACTTCGCAGTGATTGGGTTTGTGGAGTTGAGATAAAGATGCTGATTTGATTTCATTCTCCCTCTTCCCAGGGTTTAGATGTAGATTCTCTGGTCATTGAGCACATCCAGGTGAATAAAGCCCCCAAGATGCGACGTAGAACCTACAGGGCTCATGGCCGGATTAATCCATACATGAGCTCTCCCTGCCACATTGAGATGATTCTTACTGAAAAAGAGCAGATTGTTCCTAAACCAGAAGAGGAGGTTGCACAGAAGAAAAAGGTAGATTACTTAGTTGTTGGTCAGTTTTATTTGTGTCTGATACTGGCTTTTTTGTATTTTCATTATATCAGAACTATATAATTATCTGCTGATGGCCCTACCCACATGTCCATAGCCACTTGAAATGCAACATGTGTGAAAAATGGGCCCTTCCCTTCCTCCCCCCTCCAAATTAATAGCTTGTTTTCAGTAGATGATCTTACCCAGCTCTTCAAGCTGCGAATCTGGGAGTGAGTCTAGACCCGCTCCCTTCATGCCTAATGAACTTCTGTTGATTTTATTGCTTAAATATATCTCCCCACCCCCCCATATAAAGATTTTAGAGAGTGAGATGAGCAGAGGGAGAAAATCTCAAGCTGACTCTGCGCAGAGCTCAGCCCTCCTCCAGGTTCAATCCTCTTGACCCTGAGTTCATGACCTGAGCTGAAACCGAGAGTCAGACACTTGAAGTTTGCCATTCTTTTTTCTGAGCTACAACCTACTGTGCTGAGATCTGGGAGTTTAGGGCCCTTGATTGGCTCCATCTGTTAAGCTTTTGCTTTGGCTCAGGTCATGATTCCAGGGTCTTGGGATCAAGCCCCACATCAGGCTCTGTTCAGTGGGGAGTCTTTCTCCCTCTACCGTGCTTGTGCATTCTCAAATTCATTTATTTTTATTTTTTATTTTTTTTAAAGATATGGCGCTAGTTTCTCTAGGAAACTTACTAACAGCTGACCTTTTATTCCCTCCTCCACCCCCAGATATCCCAGAAGAAACTGAAGAAACAAAAACTTATGGCCCGGGAGTAAATTCTGCATAGAATAAATGCAAATAAAAATAAAAACAGTGTTGGTTGTCTTTTATTATTAAACATACTTTGGGGTACGTGGGTGGCTGCGTGGCTCAGCATCTATCTGCCTTTGGCTCAGGGTGTGATCCTGGGAGTCTTGGGATCGAGTCCTGCATCAGGCTTCTCACAGGGAGCCTGCTTTTCTCTCTCTACCTGTGTCTGTCTCTGTGTCTCGTGGATCAAATGAGTTATTATGAATAAAATTGTCCCGTGCCATTAATCTTGGTTCATAAACATGTTTTTAGGTTTTTTTTCTTTGCATAAAATGGAATTTGAGCATGGGGATATTTCTTTTTTCCAAACACGTTGAGATTTAACATTGTATGATGTGCCCAACTACAATTAAATCAATAGCCTCTATTTGATTATGCATGTCGCCTGGTAAATTTTTGTACATTTTCGTTATCCCAGAGGAACCCTGGCAGTAGTTTGAGGTCCCTCCTTACCAAATCCTATACAGCCCCGAGCAACCCTTACTTAGGGAGGTTCACACAGATTTGCCTTTACTGGCGATTACATGCAAACCAGGTCACAATGTGTGGCCCCGTGTCACTGGCTTTTTAACTGCGCGGTATCTTGAGGGCAGATCCGTCCTGCGTGTTCTCATTTCTCTTGGGTCCATACTAAGCAGAACTGTGAGTAAAACCGCCGCCGCCAAACCCGGCAGGGCGCTCAGCCGTCCGGGGTGGACAAGCGCTGAAAACAATTCCCTGCCCTTGAGCTTCCAACCAGCAGAGTGAGCAGCTGGGCACAGCGGCCTCGGGCCCCCTGCACCGGCGCGGTCCATCCCTCCTCGTCCCGGGGTCGTCTTACCCGCGCAGGAGAGCCGAGCTCTCTGCCTCGCCGGCCGCAGGCTCTGAGCTCACGGCCGCCGCGCCGGAAGCCAGCCCGCGCCTCCGCCTGGGCGTCACCGTTACGTCCCGTGCGCCCCGGTGACGCAAGCGCGCCTTTGTCAGCATCTCTTGCCGTGCCCATTGGCTTGGCGGCAGCACGTCCCTCCTCCGAAAGTGCAGCGTTGCCACTTGGACCCGGTGGTCGCGGGTGAGTGGGGCCTGGCGGGCCCTGGCTGGCGGCCGGGGGCTCGGGCGGCGGTGGGCGGGGGCCCGGCCTCCGCGGGGCCGCTTAGCAGGTTCCGGGCCGGGCGGCGCCGAGCGAGCCGAGCGAGCCGAGCCGAGCCGCGCCGCGCCGCGCCGCGCCGCTCGCGGTTGGCCTGCCGCGGCGGCCCGCCCGCGCTCCCCGGCTCGCTGCGCCCGCCCGCCTCTCCCTCTGTGCTGGTTCTCCGCGGCCCGTGCCGTCGGCGCCCCGTCGCTCCCGCCGCCCGCCCTGCCTCTCCTGGCCGTCCGGTGGCGGACTCCGGCTCGGCCTGCCCGGTGAAGTGAGGTCCCTGGCCGGCTCCCTGGAGGGAGCGGCGTTGCCCCGCGCTACGACAGCCTCAGCCTTCGCTGTCTTCGCGCTGTAGTCGCCGTGGTCTTGGACTAAGCCGAATGAAAGAAAATTCCGCTCCTCCCGCACTTAGATCCGTTGTTGCTCGCTTGGTTGTTCTATCTGAGAATTAGCTTGGCGAGAGTGGATGGAATCGTCGTCTTAGCAGGTCCCATAGCCACCTTCTAGCCCTTTCTACAGCCTGCTCAGGTATGAAGTCAGGATTCGGGGGAGAGGAGGCACGGTGGCTCCGCTATGAAGAGAAAGCCCCGTTTATGGCGTACGAGATCGGTAGCACTTGTTCCTGAGAAGTCACTTAAAACCCAGTGATCAGACGTAGGCGAACATGAACCTGTGACGGACTGCCAGCCGTTACCTTGACCTAGTCCTGGGAACACGGTCAGCGGTTTCCAAGGGTTTAAGTCGGTTTCCAAGACGGGTAGTGCGGGGGGGGGGGGGGGGGATAACGTGGTCATTGTGTTTCTGTTGGGGGAAAAGCCAGGAGCGTTGAGCTAGGAACCCAGAAGTGGGCACTCTGGTCTTGGCCACCTCTCATTACTGTTGAGCTCCGTGTGGACTTTGGACAGGTGGCACTTAGGATCAGTTTTTGTTGGTGTGGTGACACTTACCCAGAACCTCATACATGCACGTGCTTTTCTGAGCCTGCGTTTGTCATTGACATCTAATCCACATCTACGACCCTGTGAGATAGGCTGTTGTCTTCATTTTCCTCAGGAGGGCATCAAGGCACAGACTCCTCAAATGACTTCCTGAGAACACCATCTCCAGGTGGTAAAAGCCGGCCTCAAAATCGGCAGCTGCCAGCCAGTCTGCTCTGATCCTAAGACTCTGGTGCCTGTAAGCGCGGCAGACCTAAACCAGATCACCTCTGGAGTCTCTTCAGATCAAACTATAAAATGTCTGTGGTCAGAAATGATGATTCCTTGAAAATTGCTGAAAAAGGCTCACTACTCAGTTTGACTTATTTTAATCAGAAAATATGTCCTTTAAAATTTTGGAACAAAATATGTTGGTAAATTCTTAAATTGTCACTTTAGTTTGACCTGGGGACTGTTTTTAAAGAATCCGGTTATGAATCCTTTATAAAATAGTTGATCGTTCCTTAATGTACATTCATATGCTTAATTGTTTATAGCCCTTGAGATTCATTTCAAACCTGCATTCAGAACGGATTACCGTACGCTGCTCACCTGTATTGTGAATAATTTATTTTTTTTAAGATTTTATTATTTATTTGGCAGAGGGAGAGGGAGAGGGAGAGAGCACACAAGCAGGCAGAGGGAAAGGGAGAAGCAGGCTGCCTGCCGAGCAAGGAGCCGGACATGGGGCTTCAGTCGCAGAACCCTGGAATCATGACCTGAGCCGAAGGCAGACACTTAACTGAGCCACCCAGGCGCCCCTGTGAATAATTTTAAATTGCCTTAATGTAGTCAGTGCTAATTCCTTTGCCAGCAAGTACTACTTGATTTACAATATTTTGAAAATAAGAAATTTTAACATCTTGAATTACTAGCTTCAGACACTATTCTGAAACATCTTAGTTTTTCAGGTCTACTCTAAGGGATTAAAAATTCTTATAAATTTAAGAGGTCTTTGGTTCAATAGTAAGGAAGTAGTATTGGTTCTTTTTCAAGAAATTGCTGACTTGGGGAAATTCCAAGATAATTCAAAATCATCAAGGAAGAGGTGTTAACTTTAGCATGCACATACGTCCATGGGGGAGGGCCAGAGAGAATCTCAAGCAGACTCCCCCCTGACCACTGACACCCCCCCCCCCCACACACACACACAACTCGGAGTGTGATCCCAGGAGCTTGATCCCACAAGCTGAAACCAAGAGTCGGACTCTTCACTGGCTGAGCTCCCCAAAGGGTGTTAATTTCTTGAAGTGGACAATGGTACTTATAACAGTAATACCAAGTAAAATGTTTTTATTACTCAGTTTACCTTAACTGCTATTTTTTGAAAATATTTTATTTGACAGAGCACAAGCAGGGGGAGCTGCAGGCAGAGGGAGAGGGAGAAGCAGGCTCCCCACTGAGCACAGAGCCTGACGTGGGGCTCCATCCCAGGACCCTGAGATCGTGACCTGAGCCAAAGGCAGACATTTGACCCACTGAGCCCCCCAGATGCCCCCCCTCTTGATTGCTATTAAAAAGGAGAAAAGTAGATCAAAGGAGTTTTGGGGGGAAAGTCCAGCTGGTTTGTAGCCTGTAGGTCTTCCAAAGTGATACCTTAGTGAATTCCTTATTACAAGATGGACCCTTAGCCTTGGAGTTTTAGCCAATCAATACTGTCAGTCTCTGAAGATGAGTGGGCGGGAGGTTTTGAGGATTACATGAATTGATAATGCAAAGGGCCTAACTGCCTAGTACCCAGCAAAAGCTAGTGTCTTTTCCTTTATCCTTAAATTTATGGTTGGGAAGCAGTGATTGGAGGGGTTTGGAGGCAGGCACTTCACTTATTTCCATGTCTACCATGTCTTATTCCTTTACAGAAAGCAGCACTTTAATAGACTCGTGCTTTCAGCTAATGAATGATTTAGGTTTTTCCTTTAATGCAGAAGTAGTCCTTTCAAATATCTTAATCTAGATAAATTCCTTCAGTCATTAATCCATGATGAACTCATTTGTTTTTTCACGCATGTCTGCAGTTCAGGAACTCAAGCCTGGGAGGATGGTGTGCATTCCTTGCATCGTCATTCCAGTTCTGCTCTGGGTCTACAAAAAATTCCTGGAGCCATACATATACCCTCTGATTTCCCCCTTTGTTAGCCGTATGTGGCCTAGAAAAGCTCTTCGAGAAACAAATGATAAAAACAAAGGCAAAGTAGACTGTAAGGTAAGAACGTTAAAATACTTTGAATAAGGGTAGGTTAGGAGGGTGGTACTTACAGTCAGGGTGAAATACTTGGCTTTAAAAAGGCAAAGTCTTAGAACCAGAAGCTTCACTAATGTGTCTTAATTTCTTTCTTTTTAAAGATTTTATTTAGAGAGAAAGAGAGCACAAGCAGCGAGTGGGGGCAGAGGGGAAGAGAGAATCCTAAGCAGGCTCCATGCTCAGCACTGAGCCCTTGTGGGGCTCTACCCCACGGTCCCGAGACCATGGCCCAAATTGAAATCAAGAGTTGGACTGAGCTACCCAGGCACTAAGGCTTAATTTCTTTTGTTAAAATAAGGGGATGAGGATGTTTTCTAAGTAATTAACATTTTGTTTAAACAAAGGTTTTAAACTAGACTTCTGATTAGTGTGTTTGTTCCTTGTCTTACAGTCAAGATAATAACCAGTGTCTCTTGGCTGGTAAGAATAATAGTAAATAGCTAATGGATAAGAAGAGATGATACTAAAATATGCCTGTTTCACTGATACCTTTGGTAAGAGAGTTAGTCGGAAGGATCATAGAGATTTAAAAAAAAAAAAAAAACGAAATGAAGTTATTTTTTTAAATGAATATTTGGACAGCTCTGTTTTTAGCATTGGTTCTTATTAAGTTCAACTTCACCTGTGTTCTGTATTAATTTAGCCACTGTGTTCATTTCTAGAAGCAGAGTTCTTTTATTCTGAAATGTGTTGTCTGTTTTTTAAAGACATTTCTTATAATGAGTTGTAATAATATCTAAAAATAGGTTTTTTTTAATTTTAGGGTACAGACATAAACGGATTACCAACGAAAGGATCAACGGAAATCGCCGATAAAAAGAAAGACTAAAGTGATTGTTCCAAAGGATTTCACTGTTTTAAAAATGGACCTGATAATATGAAGCACCTTGCTTGTAATTCTCTTACCTTTTTTCTCTGAGACCAGAAATCGAGATAGCTTAGATACTTACCTGATATACTTACCTGATATGTATCAGGAAATACATAATTATATTTAAAATGTGTTGTTCTATTTAATGATCTCATTCTGAGTTCCTGTTTCATTAAGGTAGCTTTCATTTCTGTTACTGCAGTTATGAATAAATAGAAGGTTTATGCCAGTAGACACTGCTACTAAATCCGTACTAGAAGGTCCTTGGGCCTCTAGCTCTTGTTCAGGCTCTGTGAATTTGAGCAGAGTGTGATGTTACTGTGAAACTGTGGAATGAGACCGCGCTGTGAAAGGAAAGGGAGTTTGGAGAGATGATGAGGACTCGAAATATGAAGATAGAATTCCTGTCCAACACAACGGAGCAGCCTGCTTGGGCGTGTAGTAATTACTCTTACTGCTCTGAGGAGGGTAGTGTAGACATGACAGGGAGATCAGGGAAACGCCTTTGAATTTTTTACAGAATATACCTAATGTATATTATAAAATCCTAATCTTTGTTGCATTCCTTCTCTTCTTACAAATTAAATTAAATATTCAGTTTACTTGTTCTTTTTTCTTTCACAGTTTAAATATTTTAAGTGGATAGTTTTTGCCCCATCAGAAAGCAGAATTACAGTGTAATAACATCTGGATAGTTGTGAAGCAACAATCTTTTTTTCTTTTTTTAAAGAATAGATTGGGGCAGCCGGAGTGGCTCAGTGGTTTAGCGCCGCCTTCAGCCCAGGGCATGATCCTAGAGTCCCAGGATCGAGTCCCACATTGGGCTCCCTGTGTGGAGCCTGCTTCTCCCTCTGCCTGTGTCTCTACCTCTCTGTCTCATGAATAAATAGATAAAATCTTTAAAAAATAAAAATAAAGAGCAGATCGTATCCAGTGTTGTTGCATAACAAGACACTCCAGAATTATCGGTTTCTAACACAGGACTGGGGAGTTCTTTGCTACTTTGGGTCTTGACATGGTCTTTCATCCCTGGGCCTCTTACATTAGTGGAGGGATATATAAATATTCAAAGATGATGAGCCTTATCTTTACATGGAATAAGGAATGTATTTATTCCTTATGGGGTTAGAAGGGACTCCTGCCCTTGAAGTCCTTGGTTCTAACTGAGGCTCTGGTAAGCTTTATGTATGGTCAAATCATTCATTCACCCTGGATTTCATTTACAAATCAGTAGCTTTCGTGGGATCCCTGGGTGGCTCAGCGGTTTAGCACCTGCCTTTAGACCGGGGTGTGATCCTGGAGTCCCGGGATCGAGTCCTGCATCGGGCTCCCTGCATGGGGCCTGCTTCTCCCTATGCCTGTGTCTCTGCCTCTCTGTGTGTGTGTGTGTGTGTGTGTCTCGTGAATAAATAAATAAAATCTTAAAAAAAAAAAATCAGTAGCTTTCAGTTTTTCTGCTCCAATCCACCTGAAGAATAAGGTAAATCCCCTTTAGCGACTATACCTAGTTGATGGGGTGGTAGGTTTTTTTTTTTTTTTTTTTGCACAGGACAGCCCCTGATTAGGTTTTGTTTGTTTATTTTTTTAAGGTATAAAAGCTATATTCTAAAAATTGCAGATGTTGAGGCACTTGGCTGGCTCAGTGGAGCTTGCAATTCTTGATCTCCAGGTTGTGGGTTTAAGCCCCACGTTGGCTGTAGAGATTAAATTCTTTTTTTAAAAAAAGCTGTTTATAGTAAAAATGCAAGAGCAAGTTAAATGAACAGTTGATGTTCTACCCTTATTCTAGCTCCACAGGTGTAACCACTGTTGGTTTTTGTGTAGCTTTTTTTTTTTTTTTTAATTTTTTAAAGATTTTATTTATTCATGAGAAAGAGGCAGAGGGAGAAGCAGGCTGCATACAGGGAGCCCGACGTGGGACTTGATCCCGGGACTCCAGGATCACGTCCTGGACTGAAGGTGGCGCTAAACTGCTGAGCCACCGGGTCTGCCACAGCTTTTCTTTTTAGTAGGCTCCACACTGGATATGAGCTTGCGACCCTGAGGTTTAAGACCTGAGCTGAAATCAAGAATCCGACTGAGTCCCCAAGGCACCCCTCTAGCAACTTTCTTGTTTTTATTAAATACATTTTTCTTTTTTTTTTTTAAGATTTAATTTATTCATGAGAGAGGCCGAGACAGGCAGAGGGAGAAGCAGGCTCCGTGCAGGGAGCCTGATGTGGGACTTGATCCCAGGACCCCAGGATCACAACCTGAGCCAAAGACAGCTGGACCACCCAGGTGCCTCTAAATATATCATTTTAAGAAAATCATAATATTGCAAGGATTATAATGTCCCTACTCCCTTAGTCTCTAAAGGCATCACTCATTTGGCTGGTGCTGTATCTTGTTCTATCTCTGTATTTCTAAATAGTACAGATACACTGCTGTTTTTGGAGTTGTCAGCTCTTACTTGCTGTCATGTTCAGATGTAGCTGTCCTACACTGTTTAAGTCCCTCTACCACACATCCTCCCAATAGGTTTTTGTACTGTTGGGTTGTCCTTAGTATCTCGTTCCGAGCGCACCAGATGCCTTCCATTTGCCCCTCCAGATCTACTGCCTCTATCCTTCCTTGCTGCCCGAGAAACCTCCAGGAACTACACCCACAGACCTCCTCTGGCCTCTAGGTTCTGTTGGGTTTAGCCCGCGGGGATCTGTAGCAGGGGGAAGGGAAGGAAGGTGGGAGGTCAGGGTATATACTCCCTTCGCCACGGCCACGTCCCCTCAGGGCGTCCTCAGATCAATCAAGATCCTCAGCCAGACGTCCCTGCACCTCAGGTTGGCCACCTGCACGTGACCCTTCAGTTTCCCCTGACCTCCCTTTCACCTTGTCCGTTGGACCGATCAGGGTGACAGCCTCTCTTGCTGTGGGCTCTACTTACGGCATCATCTCAAGGGTGCCATCCGCTTGCCAGGACACTGACAGCATGGCCGGCCTGCAAGAGCTCCTTGCTGTGCAGCACGTGCGCACCTGGTCCCTGCCTTGTCTCCAGCTTCCGCGGTCCCTGCTCCGTGTCAACCTGGGCAAGAAACTGTAGGGAACCTGCAGGACCAGTGTGTGGTAGGGTAGTCACAAAATACACCACACACGGGGTGCCTGGGGGGCTCTGGGTGAAGCATCTGCCTTGGGCTCAGGTCAGGTCCCAGGGTCCTGGTATCCGGCCCCATGTTGGGCTCCCTGATCGGCGGGGTGCCTGCTTCTCCCTCTCCCTCTGCTGCTCGGGTACATCTAATCCAACATTCCCATGTCCGCTACGGTTAAGGCAGGTAGCGGAGATGCTGGCACAGGGCAAGAGTGGGGCATCCTGCAGGATTGCTTTGTACAGTTCTGCTGAACGTGCAGAGGGCGCTGTTCACATGGACAGCAATATCGGTGATGCCGCTCGACCTCTGTATTGCACACCCACAGCCGTGGACAGAAGCCGTGACCCTGACTTGTAATTCAGCAGGGGAGGCTTCATACTTCCATGGCACGTTCCTACTGCTGCATAACAAATCACCACAAATTGAGTGGCTTCAGACAGCACAGATTCATCACCTCACGGTTTCTGCAGGGCCAGAAATAGATGTGGATATGGCTGGATTCTCTGCTCAGGGTTTCACCAGGCTCAAAACAGGATGTTAGCCATGTCTGCAGTTCTCATCGGGGCTTCCAGGTCTGTGGTTGTCAGCAGAATCCGTTTCTCGCTGTTAGATTGTGGACTGAGGTCCTGCTCTTCCCCTGGTCAGCTGGGGTCTGCCCTTAGCTCCTGGAGGCTGCTCGTAGCCTAGCCCTGTGGCCCCAGAGATGGCTTACAACAAGGGCGGCCACAGCACGTCTCTCTGACTTCTAATCTTTTTGGGATTAAATTAGACCTGCCCAAATCATCTGATTTAAGGTCAACTAATTTGGGATCTTAATTACATCTGCAAAATCCCTTCAATGTCAGTACCTAGGTGGGTATTTGGTATTTGGGAGAAAGTGTGTGTCGATCAGGGGTCAGGAAGCCAGGGCCACCATCTTAGCAGTCGGCCTGCTACACTCGTCCCCTTCCCTGACTGACTAGTCCTTCAATTACTTGGGGATCCATTTTGGATCTGGATACCTTGGGCTCCACCGATCAGCGCCCCTGGACTTCACTGGTTTTAACCTCTGAAGAGTTTATAATCCTGAAATTTAAGGAGCTACTCAGCCTTTTCTGACTCCAAATTGGATCACTAGAAATAATTTCAGATGGGGGCAGGGGAGAAGAAGAAAGGAATTAATAGTGTATTTCATAGAAGGGCCATAAATATATAGAAACACATGTGTCAGCGGGAAATGCAAATTAAGACTACAATGAGAAACCACTAGAATGGTTAAAATTAAAGATCAAGTGTTGGGAGGATAAACAGAAGGGGTTCCTACACGCTGCTGGTGGGAGCATAAATTGGTACAAGTACTCTGGGAAAGGAGCCGGCATTATCTGGGAAAGCTGAACATGCATATACACTTATTTCTAGAGTCCACGTTCCTACAGTCTAGAGTCCAGAGAAAACTGTGTACCTGTGTATCAGTAGACATACAAGAACATTCTTAAAATCACTGATTATGGCAATAGCCCAAACAAAACAAAACAACCCACAAAAGTCCATTTAAAATAGGAAGGAGGGATCCCTGGGTGACGCAGCGGTTTAGCGCCTGCCTTTGGCCCGGGGCGCGATCCTGGAGACCCGGGATCGAATCCCACGTCGGGCTCCCGGTGCATGGAGCCTGCTTCTCCCTCTGCCTGTGTCTCTGCCTCTCTCTCTCTCTCTCTGTGTGTGACTATCATAAATTAAAAAAACAAAAACAAAACAAAACAAAAAACTAAAATAGGAAGGAAAGGGGGCACCTGGGTGGCTCAGTGGTTGAGCATCTGCCTTCGGCTCAGGGCATGACCCTGGGGTCCTGGGATCGAGTCCCCCATCGGGCTCCCTGCATGGAGCCTGCTTCTTCCTCTGCCTGTGTCTCTGCCTCTCTTTGTGTCTCTCATGATTAAATAAAATATATTTTTTTAATTTTATGTTAAAGATTATATCAATGTATTATTTGTAGAATAACATTAAATATAGGAAAGATGCATTAGTAAGTGAAGAGTTTTGGAGAGCTGATCCATGCTGCTGCTGTTGTTTTTTTTTAATTGTGGAACATGTGATACATAAAAAATACATAACTGACAGCTTTTTTTTTTTAAGATTTTATTCCATATTGATAGTATTTGCTAGAGGACTGCGTGCCATTTGGGGTCCATTGCCACCTTTTTGAGGCGGTGGAACCTGTGATGTGTTGCCTCCTGTGACAGTGTGATTTAAAATTAATATATGTGCAGTCTTCAAGTTCTGGCCCAGAGGTCCTAAAACTCTTGGAATTTCCTACGTGAACAGAGTGACAAAGGGATCTTTTAATATGTTAATGAGTAATTTGAACCACACCGTAGGATGTGGGCTGGTTGCTGGGAGACCCTACCAACTCGACGGGAGTCCCAGGAGGGGAGGAGGGCGGAGTCAATTGCTAAAGACCAATGATTCCATCAATCCTGGCTTTAATGAAACTCCATAAAAACCCCAAAAGACAGGGTTCACAGAGCTTTTGGATGGTGAACGTATGTGTGTGGAGGTGTGGGAGATGACGCTCGTAGAGAGATCATGGGAGCTCCTCTCCCTTTCCCTATAGCTGGTCCTATGCATCTCTTCCATCTGGATGTTCCTGTATCCTTTTATAATAAACCAGCGATCACTTTACTAGTGAGTAAAACGTTTCTCTGCATTCTCTGAGCCACTCTAACAACTTAGACCCAAGGGGAGGTCATGGGAACATTGGCTTTATGGCCAGTCAGAAGCACAACCTGGACTTGGGATTGGCATCTGAAGGGGGATTGTGAGGGAGT